TGATCCAGTCTTAAAACTTCGAAATGAACACGGCTACCATCGAGTTAAAGCAGATGAATTTCAAGTGCTATGTTTTTAATTTTTAAAAACATTCCATCTGTTCATCCACACGCTGCCAAAGATTTTCAAGTCTTAAACTCTTTTTTTTTTTACTCGGGGGCACATGTGACTGTATTTACCGGTGTAAACGTGGAAAATATAAATAAATCCAGACACTAGATGAGCTGAAGTGACAGGAAAGATGTTTAGCATGTCAACATTTCCAGCTTCTTCATCACTTAACCAGAATGACAGTTTAAGCCTGACGAGCGTTTATCTGACGTCCGGTTCTCTAAGCAGACACGTGAAGAAATTACCCTGATTCCTGTCTGTCAGCAGGTCGTGAAAAGGTGCAGAGGGAACCGCGGGACATTGGTTTATTTTGTGGCTTTAGCATCATGACGCATCAGGTTTGCACTGATTCGCAGCTAAGCCTCCGTGAATCCACAGGAGGTGATCCATCAAAACAGGAGAGCACATGTGCGATGGTGTTTCTCTGTCGTGGCCTGAGTTCAACTGTAGCTCCTAATGTCTGAGTCATGTACAAGCATCGTCATGAATCAAAAACAGCCCCGAGCTGGGACTGCTGTGGGAAAACATGAGCCAGAATAAAAACTGCTTGTCTCGCTGTGACTGAGGCCTCGCAACTTTGAGGTGTCGTTAATATAAACCTGCTCCCTCTCTCTGTTTGAGCACGTTTGAATATCCCCAGTCTCTTCTATCATTTCACAGTTTCAAATTCCATTTATTTCCTTGGTTATGTCTCTTTCCCCTTCTTGTCTTTCAGAGAATTTACTTTAGTCCACTTCTGTCCAAATTTATAACCATCTCCCTCCCTCCCTCCCTCTCCCTCTGTCCACTTTCCTCTCTCTTCTATCACTGTACATTTTTCTCTGAGGAACAAATGCACCCGAGCTCCCACAGACACTAATGTAAAAGGACCACAGCTCAAACAGATAAGGGATAATTACAGGGTTTTCAAACTCGTCCTCTGGGGACACCGATTAATTTCTATTCACCGCGGCCCGAAAATTGATTTTGGAGTCTATTATATGAAATAATCAAAATATAAATCTAACCATGAACCTCTGAGAAGTTGCTAATCCTATTACACAGAGATAATGTATAAACTGTATCTGGCTGAGTGCCACTGGTTCTTCACACCATCATCGCCGTCACAAACAAAGTGAGAACATCTGTTGGAGCCAAACCAAAGGATTTCTAGAGGTATTATTCTAAATCTAGATCAGATGATGGATATACTAGTGATATCATTATCAAATCCTTTCGATAAAGAAATGTGATTAATTCAGCTTGGGGTATGAAAAGTTCACCTCCTCCAGCCGCCTCCTCTGCTCCTTCTGCTGCTCAATACGTTTCTGCCTCTCGGCCAGTAGTTGGCGCTTGTACTCCTCCTGCTCGCGCATCTGCTGCTCCTGCAGGAGCTGCTGGCGGCGCAGAGCCTCCGAGCGCTCCTTGTTCTCCTGCTGCAACCGGATGAAGTCTCGGCGCAAGGTCGACTCACCCGGCACGTTGACGATGGAGCTACGTGAAAGACGTGACGACAGGAAATTAAAACAGTATGAAAAATATATTATTCCACTGCAGTTTTTTTCTTTTCTTTTAGTTTCTATGTTCTTTCAGCTCTAGATTCGATGAGTGAAACTACTCAGTGATTGACGATGGTTACCTCGGCTCTCCTTCTTGCTCAGATGCCTCCTCCTCCTCTTCTTCACTGCCACTGTATTCATACTCAGTCTCATCTGTGGAGAACAACAAAGGAGAATTTAAAAGTGGCTCAAAAGTTCAGGTGAAATTGTGCAACAGATCACACATGTCTCTAAAACTGAAGCATCATAAAAGTCAAAGTTGCTGAAAAACATTGATCTAAATTAAAAGTCAAGGTTCTAACTCTTTTTATGTCTTTGTCTTCACTGACGTAATCATAAATGAGCCAGTTTGCTATAAGATGCCGTCGTCTGTCAGTTTAGTTTCGTCTCATACTGACGGATGTTGGATGGTTTAGAACAGAGTTGTTGTTATTTACAGGAATAAGCTACGTACGAGTTTGAGTTTCTCATCTGTGACAAACAGCCTCTTCCTCCTGGACTCACCCTTCTCGCCCCTCTTCTTCTTGGTTCGGTCGATATGGTCTTTGAGCTGGATGCGGACCTGCCTCTCGTTGGGCTGGTCCCGGATGAAGGGGTGTTTCAGCAGCTGCTCCGTGGGGGGGCGCTGAGTGTAATTCTTCACCAGGCAGCCCTCAATGAAGCTGAAGAACTTCTTTGACCTGTTGAGTTGAGATGTAAGATGGAAGATTGTAAGATGGAAGAAACGTTTGACTGAGCGCATAAAGATTCAAAAACTTAACCCACCATTTTTTGGACTTGAGTCGAGGAGGGGGGTTTCTGGGGATGAGGAAGAGGGCTCTCATTGGATGCATGTCGCACAGAGCTGGAGGAAACAAAAAGGAAAAACAAGTGAGGGATCAACAGGAACAAAACACACAGCAAAGGCACACGTGTACTAAATACTACTTTATACTATGCAAAACGAACCACCGTTAGATTAATGTAAAAGTACTTACGAGGAGCTCCCTCAGCCATCTCTATAGCTGTGATTCCACAGGACCACAGGTCACTCTGAAGGACAGAAGAGGAGTCAGATGAGTTTGTGTGCATGTGTGTGCGTCCATGTTTCATTTGTGTTTCTATTCCTACTGAGAACATTTTAAAGTTTAAACAAAAGTGAAGAATATTTCACTTTTATTTCAGACACAAGGCAACTTTACAGTAACAGACAGAAGCAGTAGCAGACTCTGTGTTTCTTTTCTCACCCTGTAGTCATAGGTAGCATCTGGGTTTTCATCACAAGCTATGACCTCTGGAGCCATCCAATATGGCGTCCCGATGAAGGTGTTCCTCCGCCCCACCGTCCGATCCAGCTGAGCACTCACACCAAAGTCCACTGAGGAGGAACAGGATCAGAATCAGTCACGACCGAATCAAACTTGAGTCCACAGTTCTGGTTCACAGTGTAAAGTCTGAGACGCTGCTGTGTTTTAAATGCTCTCTCTCGTCTCCGTTTAACTGAAATGCAAAGTGATTTTTTGTGGCCTCAGAGAAGACATGTGCTTTACACTGCGTGTCACAGGACAGCAATTTAAAAAAGGTCAGAGGAGTAATTTGATTACAAACAGTAATCTCATCGTGCATCATTTGGAGAAATAAAAATAAGCAAAATAAAACATATTTGACAAGTTGACATATACTTGCTGCTGTTATATTGAGACAGGATCATTTCCAACATATCTACAGTGATATTTTGTAGTAAAACTACACATATGCTGAACTTTGAGCCTGAAAATCCATTTTGAAAATGTGGCTTTTATACGGACCTGCAATCATATGAAACATTATAACACTGGTAATGAAAATGAACCAGTTGGCACCAGCACGGCATTGACTCAAATCTGGCACTGCTGTATGTTCAGTTCAGACGTCCAGACCTGTGCACACACAGAAATAAAAACCAATACGTACCCAGTTTGACCTCAGCGTTCTCAGTCAGCAGCACGTTTTGTCCCTTGATGTCACGGTGGATGACATGATGAGCGTGCAGGTGAGCTAATCCCTGTAGAGATACAAAAGTAATGATCACATATTTACAGCTTCACAGAGATGTTGCGTCAGAGGCAACACTGAAAGATTTCTGCGCGCTGAGTCCAGCTTCTGCAGGTCACTTTTACAGCTTCAGAGAGAAAACTGCAACCAGCGTCACCACAGACCAAACAAACGGGCAGGTTTTTAACATTTCTGAGAATAGAATAATCAATTGAGGCCTGGTGTCGACACCACACATCTTATTATTCTGCAGTGAGGTCGGTGGTTGGCACAGATGAAGGGGACTGACCCTGAGGATCTCTCGGGAGATGTAGGCGATCCAGTCCTCCTTCAGTGTGTTGCCTTTGGTGTTCTTCACCAGATCTGTGATGGAACCGGCACCACAGAACTCCATCACCAGCTGGAAGCGAGAGAGAGAGAGAGAGAGAGGGGGCAGATATGAAAACATTACATTCAAACATAAAAACACTCCATCACCACATTCATTTTATGGTATATCTAATTTCATCAAAAGCAACAATTACTCAGAAAACTGTCAGTGTGTATTAACATTACTTCGCATTTTCCATTTGTGGGTCACTAGGGCCACTTTGTCGTTATTTCACAGCTGATTGGCACTGAGTTAATGCTGCTTGGTATCTCCTGAATTTCACACTCATCGATGGAGGACCTCCGCTCTGCAGCTAAAAAGTCTACAAACGAACTGTCTTTTAGTTTAAGCCATATTTTGAGCTTAGAACGAGAGGTTATCTAAATTTATAACATCCCGTCAACGTGCCATCTGCAATGTTCAGTGTTAAAGAGTTAAACATTGGAGTTTTTCTTCATTCTACTTAATTTGAGTTCACGTATGGATTAGTTGAATTAATGATTAAATCTATGCATCACACTTTAAACACACAATCTGAAAACTTCCACAGTCACACACATGTAACAGTGGGGGTCTTAAAGGGGTCATGGAAGCAGCTGTTAAAACAAATACAGGGTCATGTTGTGGAGGGAGAGAGTGAGAATCAGCTGAGGGTCATAAACCGAGGTCCTCCTGCCTGTAAACACATCCAGAGGCGATAACGTTCCTCTCTCTCTCTCTCCCCCTCTCATTATTTTAGTTTCTTAGTTTTTGCTTCAGTTTTTATTCTCGTCTCCGTCAATTGTCTTTGATTTGTTGTGAGTTTGAGTTGGTCTCGTCCACAGGAAGAACGTGATGCAACATGGGTATGTGCAAGTATATATAGCTGAAATATACTGTATCCTTATCTGGACTCACTGCTGGAGAGTTTAAGTGCTGGTATGTATTATCTTTCTTCTGCAGTCACCACTGACAGAGTCGAGGGCCTCGCTAGAAATAGCCAGAGAACAACTGATTAATCCTTTTCCCAGACATGTCAGTGTCTGTGATTGTTCGTCGGAACTTTTACTTTACAGAATAAAAAATGCAGAAACAGAAGTTTATATTTTGCAAAAAACAAATTATGTTTGCTTTCTCGAGTCAAGTTCTATTTATTTGGTTGTATTTGTGTGTCTTTTTATTTATAGTTATTCATAATAATGTTTATGAAATATCAAGCCTCAGTTATATTTCTAAGGTTTGTTAACAATGTCTTAGGAAAAGATTTTTTTTTACCTGTATCAGTAACCAAAAATTCTGGTTTCATTGACTTTAACATGTTGATTACTTCCTGCATTAAAGTTTATAGCAGATAACCGACAATAAACTACTTTCACTTCCTCTTAAAAGTAAAACCTCATCCTCTTCCAATTTGCTGCTTCCTTTATTTTTCAAAAAAATTAAGAGCTTTTCTATAAACGTGGAGGCTGAGATTGGTCGGGAGCAGTAGAAGAACAATCTCTATGGTGCGTTTCAGGTGAATTCAAACTAACAACACTGCATCCATTGTTCTCGTGGTGGAGGTGAACTCACCCATAGCTGGTCGTCGTGGCCCGGTGGACTCTTTTTGATGAAGGCTCCGTAGTAGGTGGCTATGTTTCTGTGGTGGGAGTATTTCTTCAGCATGTTGATTTCCAGCTTGATTTCCTCCTCTTCGTCCTGTAAGACAGCGAGAGGAGTTAGTGATCATTACCTGAGTCAAAGAGCGGGGGAGCCGTTACATGAACTAACTGAGCAGATCAACAGTCTGATAGCAGGTGATTTTATAAATCCTTTCATTCTTTCCTCCCATAGTTTTTATTACTTTATGTTTTCACTACTATTTGTTTCCTAATTTGTTTATTGTCCACAGGTTAACACAACAACTACTGGACACACAATGAGTTTAAGCTTGTTATCAGGACTTATTTAATCATCCGGGTTCCTCTGCTTTGTGATCAAACTTTGCTGAGCTCTACAAATGCCAAACATCTTTGTGGATTTGGATCGTTATGGATTTGCTGTTTTTCCATGTTTAACATCCCATTGAATTGTAAATTTTTGTAAATATGCTTTTCACCTTGGACTCCGGGGAAACTGTAATTGCATTCATACTATTTTGCGACATAGATAAATGTGGCCTTCCTCACGGAGAAAATGTGAAATCCTGAAACAGTAAAAGAAATCTTTTACAGTCTCAGGAAGCAAAGCTAAGACTCCGGATCTACGAGAGACGAGCTGAGGAGCCGAACAAGGAAACAAGCAAAGTCTAATAAACAGAAATGAGTCCAAAGGAAAATGCAGATACAACGTTAAGTCAAAATGATAACAGAGCCGAGCGAACCATCGCCTCTCAGGATATTACAGGACAGACTCAGACATATGACACGATCAAGCGATTGCAGTTTCTCAATCACTGAGGCTGCCTGACATTTATTTTGGAAACAGCCATGACTTGACATTTTCACTGTAACTGCGACCGGTCGATAAGCAGGAGCGTGATGGGCGGCTGCGACCAGGACTCGTGTGTCCACAAAGGCGAGGAAGTGGGGGGGGGGGGGTAAGCTTTTCAAGTCCAAGCTTATGACATTTTGTCGTGCAGTTTGTGCTGCAGATGTTAACAGCTGTAACACCCACAGTTTTTTTTTATTAGTTTTTTCAACTGTTGTTGATCTTTGCCTCCCGTACTTACAGATGTCAAGTTCAGTCTGACAGAAAAAGAAACAGACAGATTTTTTTATAGCCTGCGGGAAAAGATTGGAGCTACTTATTGATACTGGAAGAAATTCAAAACACACACACGTGTCTTATCGAGCGCTGCAGCAGGAAGAGAAGATGACTGACAGTTCTGAGTCAAGAGGTTAGAGGAGTTCTACGACTGTCAACGTGGACATGTCGGGATAAACACATTAACTGCAGCTCAGGAACAGAGATCCTGGTGTTTGGTCAACTCACAACCAAACTACTCATATCTCCTTGTTGGGTTCTGCCACATAGTGAAAACTGTAAAACAGAAGAAACATGGCGGCCTCCATAGAGTGGACTCCCTCGATTTAAATATAAAGTATTTAAATATAAATGGCTCTTCTGGGGTAAAGAAAACAACAATTCATACAATTTTGATGAGGCACACTAGTGAAAACATCATGTGGATTATTTTAAATTCAATTTGTGCCGATAGATCCCTTTCACCCTTTCACACTGGACCTTTAATTCATCCTCTGCTTTTTATCCTCATGAGATCTTTGAGCAGCAGCAGGTTTTCATGAGAGGACGTCGCCGTTTGACATTTCTACACCAAAAAATAAACAATTTCAATGATGGGGTCGGTCGGACAGCCAATCCCATGAGTCACCGTCAGTCAGCCAGTTGGTTACTGGTGCAGCCAGACAGCCAACCAACCGATCAGCGGGGAAGCCAACAAACCAGACGGCCGGCCAGGCCGCCCTCTGTTAGTCCACTCATCAGCAGCAGACCATCAGCAGGTCTGCAGTCGTCCAACCAGTCACAAAACAGGTGAGTCAGCTGACCTCTCAGTCAACCAGGCAGTTGGTCAGTTAGATATGTAAACAATATTTATGTGAAAATGAAACCAGAGAACCATGCATGGTACCAAAAAAAAAAGTAAATCAACTGCCACAGACACAAGGACCTTCTGTGGTCAACTCGAACATCCCGTCGCCCACAGACTGTCAGTCATGTGAACCTTTCTGGAACAAGTCAACATAATTACAGACGCTGCAGCCAGACTGAAGGAGGAGTAATGCGGCAGAGACATTATTACACATCATATCCACCATGGACCTGAATAAAGGTTCAGAAGAAGGGAAGAGGAGAATCAAAAATGATTTCACTGCTTTTGTGACGGAAACAGAACAATATGTTTAAAAACATGTGAAACCTCCATCAGACTATCAACAAAAAGAAAAGTGCCATCTATTAAAAATCTAAAACGTTTTTTGTTTTGTTGCTAGGCGACGGCTGTAACGGCAGGACAAGCTGGTGGCGCAATAGAAAAGACCAGAGCGCCTCATTTAGTGCATGCGGCCGTTGGAGGAACTGAAGACGGCTGCGTGGACCGTGTCCTCCGAAGGATGGAGCCGGCGAACTGAGACACAGCTTCTGACTGAGCTCCAGCAGTCGTACAGCAGCTTAGACCTCAGTCTGTCAGAAAATACAATTTGGATTCAACGGAGATACACACACAGACCTCCTGCTTCCACAAGGAGACAGTGACATCATCCTCCTTCTCTCTGTGTCTTTCATATCTTCACTATTGTTTGTGCACTGTCCATTTATTTTTGCACCGTCTCTCGGTCCCTCTCGTCCTTGCAGCATCACTTTCCATTACTGTCTCCCATAATGACTTTAGTCCCATGTTGATGTATCCCATCATTACAACACCTCTCTCTGCTTCACTCTCCCTGTTTCACTTCCCCTGAACTATATATTCACAGTCAGTCACTCAAAACAAGGCGTCCTGAAGCTACTCATTATCATTCCTGGGCATGAAGTGGTGGGGAGACTCAGTGGCGGCCATATTGTTGCTTAAGTATTACAGCACACAATGTGAGGGGAGGTAAAGGACGGCCGCAAAATGGAAGCATAATGGAAAAGCAGAGTAGGAGGGAAACCTTGGCTTCGACCGAGGCCCCGAGAGGTCGACATGTCTGCACCAGGCACGTTGTCTTCTCAAAGATGGTCTTGTTACTTTAGGTTTTATCTCTCTGATGTTCACAAGTTCATGTTTCAGATAAATCCGGTTTTATTTGGGGATTTTCTGATACCTGGACTTTGGGTATTGCTGATAACGAGTACAAGTGCATTTAGAATAATTTACAGCTACTTATTTACCATATTTTAAAAGCGGTGTGCTACTAGCCCTGTGTGAAGTGATGATGGCTATCACTGTTTTGAATACTTTGAAAAACAAATAAGTACAGAGAATAAAAAACTACAGAAGCTTATTGAATTCACTTGAGAAACTTCTTTTAAAAATAAAAAAGACATGATGACTTTTTTAAGAATTATAATGAATTAGCCTAATTGGCAACACTAGTGCCTTAATTCCTGGAAGGTGAGAGGAAGTGATGACTTTGTCTGTCTTTATTTAAAATCTATCTTATGCTGTTTCAGCATACAGACTTTATGTACGCCCTGATTAGAGAAAACAGATACAGAAAATGTTCTGCATTTAATTCGACTTTTTCGTGTTTCATGCCTTCAACACCTTCCCACTCTCACACCTCTGAGTGAACAGGGAGGCTGTGAGGACAGAGACTTATCCTGCTTTTTGTTTTTGCTTCATGCAAAAAATTCAGAAACAGAAAACAAGTAATTATAGTGACAACTGCAATTAATTCCCCAGAGGGAAGCCAAACGCAGAGATAAAGATGTTTGCTGTGGAGTTTTTCCACTAATCAAGATCGATTTTTTTTCCCCCCCCCTACTCAAATCCCACCGGATTACATGGAGCCGACAGCAGCGGCAGCGAGAGACGCAGAATGCAGAGCTGCTGCATCTCTTTTTATCTCCCTGACTTCATTCTTTCTTTCTATTCTCAGACACTTGCTCTCGTCTCTCAAAGAAAACAGAGGCGGTGACTGAGAGAGAGATGCCAACAGGCAGAATTAGATCAGGATCTGATCGAAGAAGAGGGAGAGAATGAGGATGAATGCAATAAAAAGAAGAGTGTGATGGAAGAGGATGGCCAGGAGAGAAGAGAGGTAATGGATGTGAGCAATGGAGGGAAAGAGAGGAGCGTGCGAGCAGGGATAGCCCCTCCCATAATCCCACTGCACTTCAGCTGAACCTCCTCGGAGGAGCAAAGATGGAAAGAAAAAGAAAAAACCCTTGCTTTCTGATTTCTTCTCCTTATCTCAGTTCTCTTACTCCGTCTCTTTGCCTAAGGTCTCTGCTCGTCCTCTCACAACACGTTGGTGCTGCGTGAACGAGAAAATATTCATATAGAAGTTTAAAGGTTTAAAGGAAAGTCTGAAATGTTGATATACATGTATATAACAGACGCTGATATTTCACAGCCAATCACACAGATGTAAAGATAGACAACTAATTCTGATCAATTACATGGTTCTCAGCCAGAGTCTGCTAACATGGAGGAGGCAGGGGTTTACGCTACATTGCAGCCAGCCACCAGGGGGCGATCCAGGTACAAGAATACCATGTTTTTGTTTACAATGCAACGGTTCTAGAATCTGGTCTTCCCAAGTTAATATCTACACCGGTGTCTTCCCCATGTATGACGCCGAGTTTGTTTTTTTCAATGTGTCCATCGAATGTTAAAAACACCATCAACACACTGGCTGTGAACTCTCCGGACATTTCCCCTCTGCGTTCTCACACCTTACGATCATTATCGAGATCGTACCGCTGTTTTTCTCTCATCGTCCACTCGCTCCTCTCTCCAAAGTGTCTGTCTTTCTCCTCACTCCTGCTCTGCATGTGGAGCAGGAAGTGGTATGTGGGTCAGAGCACATACGCCAAGGAGCACGAGGAGCTGAGAGTGGACACACACACACACACACACACACACACACGCACACACACACAGGAAAGGAGTTGCATAGCTGCGTTGTTTTACATCTGTGACACGTGAGTGTGTGTGAAAGCTCTTGTGGTTCCCCTCAGAGTCTTCTATCTCTCACACATACACACACACAGATATAAATGTTGCATGAGATGAGTGTGTGTGTGTGTGTGTGTGTGAAAATATTGAGCTTTTTATCTGCAAACAACTTCCTCTGCTCAACCGTCCTTCTTGGCGAACATCCAGACAAACTGTTTATTTAAGAAAATGGCTGAACTGCGCAGAAAAGGATCGACCACTCTGAGCGTTGTTATTTGACGGAGTAACCGTCAGGTCTTGAATGTTCCCCCACATGTGCATTTCTCCTCAGTGATTCAGCTCGTATGAATACATAAACACACTCCCCTCAAATGTTCCCCTGATCCTCCTTCATGCGCTGTCTTATTCTCCACAGCTGGAAATGGAGATTTGTGTCTGCAGGTCAGAGTCAGCGAGAGGTACACTCCCAAACTCAAGATTACTTTTTTCAATATTTAACCATGAACTAGATTTTTCAGCACGACTTCAACTAAAACCTGCCCATGGCTGAAAACTAACGTATCATGAAGGATTCAGCAGCAGCCACGTATATTGAATGGCACCGTATTTTTTTCTTTATTAATTTCAGTGAAGCTATTAAATAGTATTTCAACCATTATAACAGGGTTCATGTAGGTTTCCAAAAGCCTTTTGAAGACTCTAATGAATGAAATTCAAGACGTATGTTGAGTCCCAGAGTTATTTACACTTCCCCAGAGATTTCAAATGAATTTCAAGGCACAACAGAAGTAGCGTTGAATGAACGTATTTAAGACCTACCCGGAAATAATTAAGGCGTTTAAGACTTTTGAAGACAGAAACCCTGTGTAAGACACTAAAATCTCCCACTGAACTCCACATTTTCTCAGCATTACAAGGGAGGGAAATGGATATCATGACGAATCAATAAACAGAGCTACAATCTGCCAGATATTCAACAAGATGATTTATCATCCTAACACCCACAGGTTTTCCAGCTGCCATCTCTTTCCCTTCCTCTCTTTGTCTTCTCACTGGATAACTTCACAGAGGTTGTAAAACCAGGAATGAGCACTGAAGTACAAACAGCTGAAGTTCATGTTTATGGGTTTTCTTTTTTACAGTGTAAGATTTTTTCAGTCCACAATAATTAGATTATCAAGAGAACAATTATTTTCAGAAGCAGGCCTGACAGGGGTCACAAGCAGGCTCTGCTTCATAGGGTCAAACACGAATTGGTGTGGGATCTCCTAGAGATCTAAGACTGGATGTTTCAATATCAAGTTTTGTTTTAAGTCTTGGATTTACAAATCGATCATACGATACAACTGAAGAACATCTCAATTCCAATTTCCTCCAAACTAAACATCTGTCCATAGACTTTTCTACAACTGAAGTCAACGCCTAATAATCATGTTGAGATTCAAGGAAAAACCTAAATTTTCAAGTCTTCCAAGTAAGCAAAGGATTTCTGCTGCTGGACAATAATGTTGATATTAGTGAGCAGCAACTTATTACATTTAAAAAAAATTAAATTAGATTATTATGTTATTATCAGGGCCAATACGAGAACTCAATCCCACAACATGGAAGTATTTCTGATGACTGATAACAGAAGTATCTGGCTGTAAATATCCCAGATGACCTGTTTGTTTAATTTATAAAGCCCATCCTAAAAAGGGTTAATCATTAGTGTTTTTATAGATGAAGCAGAACAAATGGAGTCAGATTTAAAAGATTTTATCTGACATCCTTGATGATAAACTCATTCCTCTTTGAGGTGTCAGAGCAGGAAATGACCTAAAGTAAGTTTTTATGAATACTTTTCTCATTCCTTTACTTGTAGTTGTTCATTCACAGATGAGTAACACAAAAGACAGGGAGTGGAAAAAAAGCACCAAATACTTTTATCAGCGTGGTGGGATGCAGTTATACTGTGTAGCAGTACCGGGACATTTCTGCATGTGTACACGCCAAGAAATACAGGCTCCAATTACACAGGCAGAAACAGCCTCTGGGTCCTTACTCAACTCTGTGGAAGCTGGCAAGCATGCACCCATGTAAACACGCACACACACGCCAGTGTTCAGTCTTTAAGACTGTGGCCTGAACCGCTCCTGGGAAATTTTTAATCTGCTGAGCTTTAGATATAAACTCTGCTTTATTCAATAAAGTAAATTAAAACCAATAGGCGGTTTGGAAAATGTGTGATTTTTAAACTGAACATTGATGATTGATAAGGATGTAGAGGAGAAGAGGTGTCAGAGATAGAGTTTGTTTTAGTGACAACTGTGACACTGAAAGCTTGAGTTGAGTATTAGCTCTGACTTAGTCCGTCGAATGCAGCGAAACTAAATTTAGGATCAATTCCAAATCTGCAAAAGCTGTATTTTGTGGCTGCTGTGAAGAGTCTGGTAACTGCTACAGCTGCTGAAATAATCTCCCTTCATGCATCATTCATGCATCTATTCCAAGCTACTAGTGTATTTAATTAACTTTGCAAAAAGGAAATATTTTTATATTGCTGTGTAAAACAGTTTTCATTTATCACGACTTGTGACAGAGAAGAGAAAAATTGAATTTTAAAAATAATTCATCAATGCTGCACAATCCAGTAGCTGTTCAGTCAGCATGCAGGTCAAAATAGAGACTTACAGAGACAATTATCATTTTTACCCATGGTAAACTTAAGATGGAAACCTGGCCGATAACAACACATATTAAAACTACACATCAGTTTCTGTTTACTGACCTCTGTGACATCCATGACCTTGATGGCCGCCAGTTGTCCCGTCTTGACATGTCGACCCTGGAGGGAAACAGAAGAGACGGACATAAGAAAAAGCTCAGCGGGTTCAAAACAACAGGAAAATATCCAGAACCTTCAGCGACATACATTACATGTTTTTGTTTACAGCACATTCACACCATCGTCAAAGCTCTTGAATCTCATCGCCTTTCCAGATTGACAACTTCAAGGACCTCTTCTACAGGAGATAATTCTATTCTTTTTGTTTTGCAATCAGCGTTTGTCAGAAATGTCATCAACGCGCTCGCTCGCGTGCATTTTCCTGAAACGTCCCTGCAGTGGTCTAACGTGGGCTTTCCGAACATTTCATTGGGAGGCTGCCAGGGAAAATCCCGAAAGGGTCCCGAGCATCTGATTCGGACATTTGCGTTCTCACATACGAGGCATGTGAGTTCAGTGCATGCGCCTCGGAACACGGCAACAAAGCAATGCATGTGTCTGCATCATGTTTGTAACCTGTGTCTATACATCATCTATGTGTCTGAACTGCCACACGATCAGGTTTCCTTTGTGCGGAGCAGGACCGCGACACCCGAGCCACCGGCCCCTGCTCCTGAATGAGTCGGCGAAGCACACAGTTGGAGTGATGACGGATTAGCCCATTTTGATTTAGCCGCGGGGGACAAGTGTGTAAGTGTGTGTGTGTGTGTGTTGAGGCAGGGCAGGCAAAGAGGTCAAGGCTGATTGAGAGACCAAACTGCAAAGATGACAAGGAGGCAAATCTCTGCTGGTGCCCAACTGTGGGAACTACAGTGTGGGAACGGAGGGGTGAAGGAGGACAAAACTAAAAAAAAAAAGAAAAGAACCCTGAATATTTTTTCAAAACCTTTGTCTGAACCTGACAGACTCAGGTTGGGTATCAACACACGGGAGAGGAGTGGAGTTATTGAGTGAATTTGGAGAAAAGTAATTACACATTAAAGTGCAGGAAGGTTTGTGTTGAACCTTATCACAGTGATAGTTGAGGAAGAGGAAAGAAACAGAGCAGAGTATCTGTGCAGATACTGAAAATAATATTCAAATGGGAAAGTTATTTTAAAAACTCAACAAAAAAAGGTTTGACACGATGACAGAATGACCAAAATCCTACAATTAACCAGAGTCGTCCTTGAGCTAGAAACTGTCAATGGAATGTAGTGGGCGAATGTGTGTGTGGCGTCTCAGTGCTTTTCAGCCACAGCAGGCCGACCTCCATCAGCCTCCATTAAACACTAGCATCCATCTTACTTTGGTACTGCTGAGTCATCGGTTTCTTACTCACGACACACACACACACACGCACTGACCTCACCGTCTCAATTTAAGAATTTTCATCTCTTTTTCTCCAGTGACGACAGGCAAGTTTAACAATTCACCCCCTTGAGACAACAAGCAGCAGTGTGTGTCTCTCTGTGTCTCTCTGTGTGTGTGTGTGTGTGTGTCCTCAGCTGATGAGGAACGTGTGTTGACTATGTTTGCTTGTAATCACACACACAGGAGTTCTCTCCAGTGTATGCACTTATGGTCTAATCATCCAACCCGTTGTGTTAACGTCTGCACACAAACACACACGTACACACACACACACACACTACAAACGCTAGATCTACTTAAATACACTGTCGATCAACTGGCCCCAAGTAGACACGTATAGACACGCACTTCACGATCCTCCCGCTCTCTCTAACACACACACACACACACACACACACACACACACACACTTAAGCTAACATACTGAAAAGCAGTTGCTATATGTACACAAGTGACATCATGACAAGATGCTGATGAATGAAGAGCTTTACTTCATCCTCATTTTTTTAAATCACGAAGGGACATTTGTTTCCTCATGTGAAAGAAGAAAAATAATTAACAAGATGAAGCATTTTGTGTGTGTGTGTGTGTGTGTGTGTGTCCTCTGTGTGTATGAAAGGTGACCTCAGTACACAGACTGTAATAATCACAGAATCCTTCCAGCTGCCGACCCACACACACACACACACACACACACACACACACACACACACACACACACACACACAATGGTGAAACGATGACATCATCTTCTCTGGTTCCTTTGTTCAGAAATGAGACACAGGCTAGACACACACCTGGACACGAAAAATAGGGAAAAAGACGAAGGGACAGTCCGTCATTCAGCCAGAACTGAAAAGTTACCGTCGCTTTTTCTGACCCATAAGATTTACTCATCATAAACCTGAGATCTGAGGAAACAACAGTTCAAACAGGAAGACAAGCGTTTATATCAACACAGGTTGTTAACTTGACTGGCATTCTGTAACACACATATCTCCGCCAAGGCCCAACTATCCCACATATGACCTAGTTGATCTTGTTATAAAACAAAGTCATATTCCCTCCAGGCCTTTGGAGGAAATCATGTGATGAGGGCTATGGGATACATTTGACAAAAACTATTTCTATAACCCCATTCCTCTCGTGATCTTTCTCTTTTGATCTACTGGATCATTTTTGACCTCCTTTGAATTTGTGTCTAAATATACAAAGGCTGCAAACGTCTCCCTTGGGAGAACGAGTTAAAACCCGTAACCTTCATTTCCAGGGGTCACGAGCCAAAATAACTAAGAACAAATTAACTCACTTATTTAAAAGTGTAACTGAGGCCAAGTGCACCAGAAATCTTCTTAAGAATTGTAAAAGTATTCTAATAAAAGAATTCAGTCTCCAAAACCAAAATCCCAAAGTGGATGGATCTGTTACAGTACATCCACATGACTGGGAAAAAAACATCAATGAGAGATTGATTGAAGTTGTAGGTTTATCTCATAGATCTTCTGTTTTTCCGACGGAGCTTCTGAAAGTCAGTTAACTCCTCCCAGCTGACTCCACGCTCCATTCAAACATGACATAATCCTCCCGTCATCCGACTCTCTCATGACCAGCACCGTGCTCTGTCCCTGTCAAGTCTCTGCGGGGGATGTTTCGACCAGAGTTTCCCTCATCGTGGAAAAGCCTGGAGGGCACATGAGGTGAGAGTCCAATGTTGGATTCAGAGCAGAGATTTTGACTCACATGGTCTCAACACATTTTTCTCAGACGCCCTCAGAGAAAGTTTGTATTTGTGGGATTACAAACTATGTCTGGGATCATAGAGCCTCGGTTTTTGGCACATGGAGCAAATGTCCTATTAGTCATGCACGGATGTAAATCTGTAAATCTCAGTCAGAATAGATTGATAAATTTAACTATATGGTACATGGATGTGAATCTTAACAAGTGGAGCCTAAACCAGGTTTCCGACTGAATACAGACGACAGAACAAATGCTCCGTCAGCAGCCTGATGAGGAGCTATGAGCTTTAAAAAATGAACACGTGTCGGTGCTGATGAATTGATTCACTCTGATTTTACTCCAGAGATTGTGCTTTGGTTTCAGAGCATCACTGACTCACAAGTTTCCCCCGCTGCCAGCCAGCAGCCACTTTAATCAGTCAGTGTTTGCCAACACTGCCCCGGCCCGTCTCTCCCCACAGATCACCAGCTCCACTGATGTCTTCGTTTATTTCAAACACTCACCAACTGCAGATTTTTTAATTTGCTGAGCTGGCACCGGAGACATTTAGTGCATTAGTACAGAGTCGAATAATTGCTAAAGGCAAACTATGGCTGAAACAACTGGCCGAGCACTATTCATCAGCTCTGGTGTTCTGTGTCTATAAAACATGTGACTTTCCTGACTGTAAATAAACAATGAGTAGACTATTGGCTCCAATGTCTATGACACTAAATCACTGCTGCACTAATCAATATTTCTAAATAATCTAACAGCTCGTGAAATGTGAAAGGGATCCCGTGTGGAGTTATCACTGGATCAGGAGTTCCCCTGCAGCTGAACATTAGCGTTTGAGTTTCTTTCAGCTCACTGTTCTGCACATGTACTGCGTCTTCAGAGAACCTGCAGCTGTGTCTAAGTGAAGACGCACTGACAAACCAGCTGCACGCTTTCAGTCTGGCCCCACACATTTGACGGACAAATAGGCGACTAGCTCATAAACGTTGAGAAGCAGAAAAGCCTAGATCACTTTCTCAGGAGCTGGTGGAGACCAAAAACAGAGCTAGGAGGAGAAACCGGACTAAAATTCATTTGGCAAACAGAAAAACAACGTCACATGCTCATGTTGCTCCAACTGCTTGACATGCAAGTAGGTAATTCTTTGCTATATGAAGCTTAAATGATGATAGTATGTAGATGTTGTGTTTATACCATAGACAGAATAAAGACGGGACGACACGTCTCTCCTGATCATTCCGTTTTCCTCAAATAACTAATAACTGTTTACAAACACAAGTGTGAAAGAACTCCCTGAAGAACTCCCTCAAATGACAGAAACCATTTTTGAGAAAAATGCATTTGACTTGTAACTTTTAAAGTCTGTCCCATCTGCTAACATGGAGGAGGTGGTATTTATGACCTATACTGCAGCCAGCCACCAGGTGTCAATCGTAAGGCTTTCGGAGAGAAGTCATTGTTTAAATCTTGATCTGCTGCCCCCACATGGTGAAAGTAAATGAATTGCCGGGACTTTGAAACGTGTGGTGGAGGTGGTTTGTGTGTGTGGTGAAATATTCTTGTCTGGATTTTAAACTTCTTTCACCATCTGTCACCAGAGGCCACAAAAGCCTTATCTCTATTTGCCCTAAGCAAACATCTGCCTCTGACATTGTTTGTGTTGTAAAAACAATCTCTCACATTTACTCTCCAAGTCATCGGAGGAATGATTGTATTTCCTCATTGTACTGATGTGCTAGCATCTCAAGATGAATACCCTCATTCAGTTATGATTCACCTCATATCTTCGACAAATGAAATCATAACCTGCTGCCCTCGGGCGTTCGGAACCATTGGTTTTACTTTCTGACAGTTTCACACACTGCTCATGCAAAAGATAAAGTTGCAGCGATTTGAAAAAAGAAAAGCACGTAATTAAAAACGACAATAGTCGAGCATTAACCGGAGAAGCTCGGTCGTGTCCCGGTGACCTTTAAAGCTTCCTTCACTCCGATCACTCCACGCTCCAATCAGGACTCAGTGAGGGAGCAGACATCAGCTTTAATGACGGCCCTTACTCAGACGAGTGGGACCTGATGCCAGAGTTCATAAGGTACCCCCCACCACGATCCGTC